GGTTTTTTTTTTTTTTTCCCCCACATTTTAATCCATGTCTTTGAACTCAGAGGGCCCTCTTGGTTTTAGAAACTCTCCCTTTCTTGTTACTACTTGTCATCTTGTTACTGGTTTTTGGTTTTCTCTCAAGTTCAGGGAAGGGTAGAGTTAGGTTAGGAAGATTCTGGGCTGTCACATTTTCTCAGGGATCGTTTCCATTTTCCCTCTGCCTTCTGCCAGACATACCTGTTCCCTGCTCTCAAAGAGTAGTCCCACTGGAGATGGTTTTGACAATTCTTGAACAAGCACACAAATACATTTGGCTCATAAATACAAAGTGGTTAAACATCTAGCCCCTTAAGAGAGAAATTGGGATAATACTGAAAATGAGCAAAAACTCTGAGATAAACACCTTCTCATTTCTAACACATTGCAACTAGCCCTTCTATTCGGATCTTGGGTGAAGATGTGTAATTACCACAGATTATTCTATATGCTTTTCAGGTTGCATCTTGAAACAATATAGTTTCAGGTTTCTGGGAGGAAACCCTAAATCTCTAGGCCAGTTCCTGTAAACAGAAATACCCAGCACACATGCAACTGTGCGTGAAGATCTTGGCAAATGCTCATGGCAGTCTTCACAGGCAAGGATCAGTCCCCATCCTCCCCAATTTGCAACAGGGACTCCAGCCTAGAACTTCCCTACTCGCCCTTTACTCTTTCCTGCTACATATGCCCTTTTAGAGCTGTGTTCTGTATTGGGGCTTCAAAATATGAGGTTAAAAAAGTGGGGCTGGAGAGATGGCTCATTGGTTAAGAGCACTGCAGAGGACTTGAGTTTGGTTCCCAGACCCACATAGTGACTAACAATTGTCCATAACTCCAGTTCCAGGGAATCTGATGCCCTCATCTGGCCTCCATGGGTACTGCGCCCATGCACTTACATGCAGGTGAAACACTCATACAAATTTAAAAAGTTAAAACTTCAGCTGGGTGTAGTGGCACACATCTATAATCCCAGCACTTGGGAAGGGAGATAAAGGCAGGAGGATCAGGAGTTTGAGGTCATCCTTGGTTACTAAGTTTGAGGCCAGCCTGGGTTACATGAGACCCTGTCTCACAAAAACAGCAACCTCTCCCTCCTCCCAAAAAATTTTAAAGCTCTCTGGTGGGGTATATGTTATTCTGAAATAGTCACTAGTAATATTTTAATTAGTAATATTAATATTAGTGACTTTGGGTGGCATATGCTGCCAATATGAGAAAAAACACTAGGCAAAGCTGGAAAAGAATGCAAATTGGATGCATCAGTGTAAGTACTACAGGTTGGTAAGGGGAGGCTTAGGAGTGATTCAGTGGTTAGGCTGGTGAGATCGGGGTTAAGTCAAAGAGGATGTGCAGAGATTTTCTCCAGAGCAGCAAGGTGACTTTGGCAGTTAGTAGCCAGCGACTGTTTCCTTCTCTATTTGGTCTGCACAGGAGCCAGCCACCTAGCTTGTCTACAGTCTCACAGGTAAGAACAGTTAGTAGCCAGCGACTGTTTCCTTCTCTATTTGGTCTGCACAGGAGCCACCTAGCTTGTCTACAGTCTCACAGGTAAGAGAAGTCACCACCAGTAGCTTAAGAGAATTCTGGACAGTCCAAATGGTTGAATCTCATAGAACTTGTTATGTAAGGGATTGTATGGTTTTGAAAACCATTTCTTTTTTTAAGACAGGGTCTCCCTGTAGCCCTCCATCAACTCGCTATGTAGACCAGGCTGGCCTCAATCTTACAGAAACTGGTCTCTGCCTCCCAAGTGCTGGGATTAAAGGCATGTGCCATCACACCTGGCTTGTAAACCATTTCTTAGGTGTGGAACACGGAGATGTCACAGAGCATAAGTAAAACAGTGTCCTCGTCCTAATTTGACAGCGTTTGATGCAGAAGCCGCCAGCAGACTGTTTTCTCAAGTTTCATATGCTTTTTCTGAATCTCCCTATTAAGCATTTGGAAAAACAAGCAAAACAATGGTAGGAGGTCCAAACATTGAATAGCAGCCAGGACATTTTGTAAAGTTAAGGGAAATGCTGACTTTTAAAGTAATGCTTAAGACCAGTGCCTTCAGATCCTTAGTGTAATGCCTTCCATGGTAAGAACTGAATTTGAGCTGGGATGGTGGTGGGTAGATTCCCAGAACTGGGAAGGCTGAGACAAGAGGATCATAAATTTGAGTCTAGCCTGAGCTACATAGCAAGCCCCGTCTCAAAAAAATAACATCACCACCACCCCCGCCTAATACTGGCATTGTCCTTCCTGTCTTAATCAGTTAATCAGCTGTTGAGTATTTACTTTCAGTTTCACATTCCACATTAGAAACAGGTAAGCCTCAGCTATTAGAGCTGGTGCAGAAATCACCCAAAGGGAGAAAAATCACAGATCACCTTTCAGGACCAAGCAACCAAAACCACTTTTGATTTCCCTACCTTACTGAATACCTCTTTGATCCCTTATCTGGAAAATGACATTTTTTTTACTATCTAAGACCCAGTCAGCTTCTGATTTTGAAGTCTGGCAGGAAAAGAGGAAGGCCAGTATAGGCAGTAGGGGAGAAAGGATGCCGGACTGGAGTTCAGCTGCCTTCCACCTTGGGAAGAGGGTGCTGCTGCTACCCGACTCATAGGAGGGACCTATTTTTACTTCTAGATCTTGGCCTCCCATTTTTCTAACCATTTCCCTCCAACAACTGAAAATACCAAATGTGTGCTATGGTCAAGTGCAGATGGTAAAGCTATAGCCTTGAGTAACAAAAGTAAGGCCTCCTCCGTTCCCCCTCTACAGATGTCAGGTAGAGAGATGACACTTAGCAAGTTAACAGAAGAGTGACACCAGATGATAAGCACCAGGAGGACATAACTTGAAACTATTCTTAGCCATCTGGAGAGAGAGACCATTCTTCTGGGATTTGTTTCTATTAATTTTTCCTAAGCTTGGATGCCATAACCAAATACCACAGACTGGGTGGCTTAAATAAAATCTTACTTTTCACAAGTCTGGAGGCAGAAAGTCTAAGCTTGGGAAGCTAGCATGGTCAGGTTTCTGGTTCACAGACAGCTGCCCTCTCTTAACTCAGAGGGCAGTAAGAGAAAGAACAGCTAGTGCTTTCATGAGGGGCCTGCCCTCATAACTGAAGCCAAACCTAACAATGACTCCCAAAGGCCCAGTCTCCAAAAATCACAAAGCAAAACAACAACAAACAAAAAAACCCTGAAAACAACCAGGCAAGAACAGGTTATAGAATTCCCCTTAAATTGTAGAGATGAAAATTGCTGCTTATGTCTGAGAGGCTGAAGGACTTTTGGTCAACATGAGCCATTTAAGAGCATACTAATTAGCTATCCAGATGGTTCTGACATTGGATATAGATTTACTGGAAGCTATTTCAATAATTAAAATTTACAATGGAGGGGCTGGGGAGATGGCTTAGTGGTTAAGAGCTCTGGATGCTTTTGCAGAGGCCCCAGGTTAGA